TTCTGCCTGGTGTGTCCTAGGAGGCACCACACTTGGTACATAATTAAAATCCCAAACTTACCAAGATTTTCAACCAAAAGTAAAAGTCGTTAAGAATTAACATTGTAACATGTATTTAAGACTACTGAAGAACCAGTTTTACATGCAAGGTGTGTAAGGAAAGTGAAATGTGTTTGCAGCAAAAGATTATAAGAAGGCATGGAAATGTGGATTTCTTGCCTAAGATTAAAAGATTAAAGGATTGTTTTTAGTTAGAATGAAGCTGAAGATTTAAGCAAGTTGTGGAAGGTTTATGAAAAATTAATTGTAAAAAAATTGTGTATGTGAACATACTGGCTAAAGTTAAAGTGGTATTATTCAGTTTTTTTTTTTTGTAAACTGAACATTGGAATAAAAGCACACTAGGTTATTCTTAAAGCAGAAGCCTGCTTACAATCTACTCTAACAGAAATTTGTAAAGGGTTATAAAAGGTTTATGAGAATTTTACCTTATGGTCAAACACAAAATTGGATATATTTATTTATAAGTTTTTGTTAAGAATTAGGTTTGACATCAATAATGCACTAATGCAATAGTGACATTTGGCTTATTTGGTATAAAAATGATACAAAAAGCATTATCAAATGTGACATGATGGCCAGGTGCAGTGACTCATGCCTGTAATCCCAGCACTTTGGGAGGCTGAGGCAGATGGATCACGAGGTCATGAGGTTGAGACCAGCCTGACTAATGTGGTGAAACCTATTCTCTACTAAAAAAAAAATGCGAAAATTAGCTGGGCTTGGTGGGGAGTGCCTGTAATCCCAGCTACTCAGGAGGTGAGGCAGGAGAATTGCTTGAACCCAGGAGGCAGAGGTTACAGTGAGCCAATATTGTGCCACTGCACTCCAGCCTGGGCAACAGAGCGAGACTCTGTCTCAAAAAAAAAAAAAAAAAACAAAAAACTGTGAAATGATGTTTAGTTTTCTTTGGGTTGTATTTGTTTAAATGTGTTATTGGTATATATTCCAAAATTATGGGAAACTCTTATAATTCTGACATGACATAGTGCACATTATCAGTAATGATTATAATTTTTGTGTTGAATTATTGTATGCCACAAATGTAACCAAAATTTCCTAGTCAATTGTGGCTTTAATTGTGGCTGTCCTAAGATGTTTTGTCATCCACAAACAATTGTTACTTTGTCTTAATCCTTTTTAGAAGGTGGTTTATAATCAATTATAGAACTTTAACAGGTGTTCTTAAATACAGATTTTCTGATAACTTTGGAGATTATGACATCAGAAAAGAGGAAAATAAAACTTTCAGGACTCATGGAGAGATAAAATGTTCATGACTGTCACACAGGAGTTAACTGCATAAACTAAACTAAAGAAGTCTGAAGTAATCATTTTAACTTTTTGCTTAAAACATTGCTGATCCTTTGTTTTGTTTTTCAGAGTCAAGAAAACTTTGCATTTTGGTTATTTACAGCTTGTAGCAATTGAGTAAAGTATAGTCATGTGAACAAACTTTGGAGCATATTTGTTTCTGTCTGCCTGATTTCTCCAGAATTTGGAAACTAGTTGTGAGTATTCTTAACTCACAGGCTAACCCTGCTTATTCCTGTGAACCAGTGATCTCTGGCTGCAACTCAGAAGAAACAAGAGGGATGAGTAATATGAAAATCTAGAATCAATATTCTAATTCTGGGCACATTGAAATCAGCTAGTGGCCCTACATCAGCTTGGTTCTAACAGTTACATAGTTCATGGAAAGCTTTCTTATTTAGTTTACTTGGGATAATTTTACTTATTTTGCTTTACTGTTGTGGAATATATTGCTGTTGTACTCTTTGTGTAGGAATGAGGATAAGCTTACTCAATGTTTCCCTAAATTGAACACTTATTAATCTTCCAGATATCACCTCTTGTCAGAACTCAAGGGTCATGAATGGCCCTTGCCATACTGATACATTCTGACTGAGCTCCTTTCTACTCTGAACAAAAGAGACCCTAATAGTTAGGCAGGAATATCATTGCCCCTTTTCAGCCTGAAGAAGTTACAGAAGATAGATCTTTGTCCCTCTGCAACCTTTAGGATTAAGGGTTCTCTTATACGAGGGAGAGGGAATGTCAGAGGCATGTAAACCAGAGCAACTCCATCTTGAATTGGAGCTGAGTAAAATGAGGCTGAGACCTGGGCTGCATTCCCAAATGGTTAAGGCATTCTAAGTCCCAGAATGAGATAGGAGGTCAGCACAAGATACAGGTCATAAAGACCTTGCTGATAATACAGGTTGCAGTAAAGAAACTGGCTAAAATTCAAAACCAAGATGGCTATGACAGTGACCTCTGGTCATCCTCACTGCTACACTTCCACCAGTGCCATGACAGTTTACAAATGCCATGACAATGTCAGGAAGTTACTCTATATGGTCTAAAAAGGGGAGGCATGAATAACCCACCCTTTGTTTAGCATATCATCAAGAAATAACTATAAAAATGGGCAACTAGCAGCCCTTGGGGCTGCTCTGTCTATGACGTGGCCATTCTTTTATTATTTTACTTTCTTAATAAACTTGCTTTCACTTTACTGTATGGACTCTCCCTGAATTCTTTCTTGTGTGAGATCAAAGAACCCTCTCTGGGTCTGGATCTGAACCCCTTTCCTGTAACAACAGGGGCAGGGACACTGCAGCAAACTCCCAAAAGGGCAATGCCTCATGGAATTGTATGGGCCAGGGCTACTCCTGAGATGCTTGATCTGTAAAGCAACCATCATGCAACTCCCCACTCTGGGGAGAGCCACAGACACTCAACACCAGGACATGAGAGCTGCAGTATGGGCTGTGCCCAGTAACACCATGGAGGTGGAGTCCCTGAAGTCTGGGAAACCCAGACTTCACCCCAGTGTGTCTGGAAGGTGCAATCTAGAGTCAATAAAGATTGTTCTCAAGCTTCAAAGTTTAATGTTGTGTACCTTGTTGGATTTTGGACTTACTTGGGAACTATTACTCGTTTCTTTTTGCATGTTTCTCCCTTTTGGAATGGGAATGTCTATCCTATGCCTATCCCATCCTTGCATTTTGGAAGCACATATTGTTTGATTTCACAGGCTCACAGCTGGAGAGTAATTTGCTTCAGGATGAAAAGTACCTTGAATCTCACCCATATCTGATTTAGATGAGATTCCAGAGTTTAGACATTTGAGTTGACGCTGGAAACAGTTAAGGCTTTGGGGGCAATTTGAATGGAATGAATGTACTTTGTAGGTAACAAGGTTATGGATTTCTGGGGGGCCAGAAGTGGAATGCCATGGTTCAAATGATGATGTCACCTCCAAACTTTATGTTCAAACTTAATCCCCATTGTGATGGTATTTAGAGGTAGGGCCTTGGGGAAGTAATTAAATAATAAAGACTCTACCCTCATGAATGGATTAATGCCTTATAAAAGAGGCTTTGGAGAGAATGTTCCCTTTTCCTGCCCTCTGTCTTTTGCCATGTGAGTGAGGACGCTGCAAGAGGGCCCTCACCAGACATCAAATGTCAGGACCTTGATCATGGCCTCCCCTGACTCCAGAAATGCCAAACAATAATTTCTATTCTTTACAAATTACCCAGTCTCATGATTTTATGATAGCAGCAAAAGCAAACTATGACAATCATAGTCCATTTTTAATCTGTATCATACCACAGTTTTCATCTGTATCCAGTCTCCCTGGTTTCTGATCCTTGGCCCAGTTTCCCATTTATAATATATAATTTCTCAAACTCATTTCCTTGCCTTCATCTCAAGGACTAACTTCTGGCTTTCACCATTCTCTGTGGTTCCTGTGCACCTCTTTGACTTCCTTGCATTCAGACCTTTCTGGCAACACCTTCCACCATTCCAACTCCCCATCAGACCTTATTTCCAAGACCAAGACTTACAACAAGCTAACAAGTTAGCTAACAGCTCTTGTTAACCTCACTCCTGCCCCAAAAGCACCAAGGAAAAGGTCAAACTCCCTTTAAAAACAAGGGTACAGGGTATTGTATTGCCTATCCATATTTTAGTATCTCAAGGACTAGACTCACATGTTAAATGTAGGCATCTATACATATGACTGACATAACCATTATCTGTTGTAGTTCTAAGGCAATAATGAGTAAACACACACATACCCCAGAAAACTACTTCTGTGCCTCCATACTTCAGTATGTGTGTGTGTTCGTGCTAGTGCATGACTCTATCTAGACCTCTACATTTGGTGTTTATTAATTTTTAAGAGATTTTCATTAGAAAACAACACATGTGTTCTACGCTATTTTCATTTGTTGATAAATTCTTTAATTCTTAACCAATTCTATTCAAGCTTAGCAAAGAAGAACAAAGATACATTTTGCATTCTTAAACCCCCATCTGTTTTCTCATATATCAAAATAGAAGAGAAAAAGAAGAGGAAAACCTCACCTTGACTATGCCATTTTTCCCATGAGATGATCTTGGAGGTCACATTCTTTTCACCATTATTTCCAAGTTGCCCTCTGAGGGCAGAAGCATAGTGCAATTGAGCTCCAAAGCTAATTTGAGCAAAACTATTTATAGTCTGAATAAAATATTTTATAGACTTAAGTAGCATTAAAATCAACAGCAAAACAGCTGTATTTTTGTGAGAAATAAGAAGTGAGCCTACAGAACTGTATCGTGGACACTCTTTACTACCTTTTAAAATCAGCACATTTTCACCATTAGCACTACTACGTTCTTCCTTAGACACCCAGCCCCACATTTCAGCTCTGTCCCTTCACTAGCGAACACATGAGGGGGATGCAGAAGAGAGATAATTGCAAAAACATGGCGCTTTATGCTTCAGTTGCCAGCTTTTCCCACCCCAAATAATACACTGGAATCTCAAGTCATGTGTAATTCTTTGTGAAGAAAGCACAGAATTATTTTGAAGGAAAATGCATAAAGAAAAAGTGATTTGTTTGAAGGGAGAAAAATGCTACCTTTTCCTGTTGTCAGGATTATCAAGCTTTTTGTTTTTAACTGCTTTTATCCCTGTATGAGATAAAGAGAATTCAAAGTGAATTCATTCAAGTCAAGTGAGCTTATTTTGCAGGAGATGGGTATTAATGTTTTATTTCAGAGTTTTTGTCATTCAATCTGACAGGTGTGGCCAGGCAGGGTTGCTGAAACCAACTCATCCCCACTCTGGTCTCATTTCATCTCCTTGGATAACAGTCACAGCAGCCACATGCCAATGTGCTGAGTCACATTTTCCATCAGCAGCATTTTGCTGTTTGGAAAGTCCTCAAGCAGTGCCGGCTGCCTTAGAGTTGCCTGCAATATGGCTCATGTGTTCCTCACAGACCGCCTGGGAAGTTTGTTAGTCTCAGAGGCATTTATTAAATGTTTAAAACAAAAGTAAGTTACCTTTGTCTGTCAAATCTGTTTCTGAACATGGCTTTGAGTTACTCTGCATTTCAGGATAGTGCAATAATTCTGTGATGATAAGTGAGAATTGGATTTGAAAACGAAGCACCAGTTTTTCCTTCTTCTGTCCTTTTCTGCAGAAGGAGCTCTGTGTTGTGTAATTCAGCTTTCATGTTGCCTCTTCTGGTACCTGTTTTTACATTAGGATATAGAGTGCACAGAAATGCATTGTTTGCCTAGAAATTTGTTATGTTCACAAGTTGATTGCTGCTCAATCTGTGGCTCAGTGGATGAATTTGAAGTGTAAAATTAGTTAAAAACATTTCTAAACATTTAGTTTCATTGTTTTGTTTTATTAGTTCAATGTTCATCTCTGAAAAGTCCCGTGGAAAACAGAAATGACCCTTTCTAGCAGAGGGTAGGTGCAGAAGCTCAAACCTCCCTTTCTTTTCCTGATTCCATTTGTCAGTGCTCTGCAGAAGTGGTGCCTAGAGAAAAGTTTCTCTACTCATGTCTTGGTGATAGTGTGGAGGCTCAGCTAAGGTGCACCCAATCTTCAAGGTCCTGAGTAAATAATGAGAACCTCTTCACCACTTGGCTAAAAATTTATTCTCCAGGAAGAATCTAAACATTGGGAAAACAAATTAATAGCAGACAGTGAAAATGTCCCCCAGGTTGGTACTTAGTTACTGAAATTAGTCTCTGAGCCACCCTGAAGACTCTGGAAGGGATAAACAGAGGACTGATTTAAGTTTCTATCATTTCTGGCATGATTTCCCACAAACCTAACAAGGAATTCACCTTTAATCAAATGTTCACATAAAAGATAACAAATAAAATACCTTAAAGAAAATCAGAAAGGGAAAAATTTACAAAGAATAATCAAGAATGTTTGGTGTATTATTGGTGAGTGAGATTCATTACCTGTGTGGGGAGTAGGACTTACCAGAGAGAACCTATTCATCAGTTCCATTTGGCCAATAGCTATGACTGCTCAAAATGCCGAGGTAACACCCCAGTCACCTGCAAAAAAGTCTGAGGCCAGAGATGGCCAAATTGCCCGAGTGTGCAGTGACTTCAATGTAGTAGGTACATTGCATTGTACCTGGGACAGTGGAATGTGGAGAAGACCTCTATTAGACGTGCCCTCTGTCTTTCCTAATTTAGCAGTGATTTTATGAATTAGATAATTGGTTTTTCTCTGCAGCTGTTTGCAGGTTTTAAGCAATTAGTCTCAATATTTGCATGAACCTTTATTTATCTTAGAGGAAGGTGATCTTGCTGCTATCTGAAAAAAAAAATATGTCTTTGAAATGGCTTTCTAGTCCTTTTCCACTTGTTTCCCCAGGCACCGACTGAAGACAAAAGAAACTTCTCTAATGGATGAAGTTTGTCCACTGGCATCAACAGCAATGATGTCCTTGCTTCCCAAAGTGTGCACATTCTTTGCTGGTGAGTAAGCAGACTGGGTTGTGGCATCATTCCTGCCCCCACACATGAAGACACATTCCTTCTGCTCTCTAAATAACCTTGAAACAGGCTAAGCTTTCCAGAGCTCATTTATAGAAATCCTCGATTTATGCAAACACAGTATCATGCAAAAGAATTAAAAAGGAGAAAGAGAATTTTGAAATAGTAGTGCAAGGGAAGAGCTCAATGAGGACCACCCTGGAGATGGAGAAAGGATCCAAAGTCTGTTTCCAATTATGAGCTTCTAGGAGGAGAATGAGTTCTATTTAAAGTAGTTCCAAATCAGGTGAGGATGGAGAGGTCATCTGTGTTGAAGAGGGGTGGGGCAGCATGGCTTGTGGCAAGTTGTGACCCTTGTTTATAACTAAAATTAGATAAGTTTGCATACAAACAAAAAACAATGTGCCTTTGGGTATAGTGACTACAGCTGGGCAGACAGAATGGGGAAATAGAGAAAGGCTTCACTTAGGAAGAGGAGAGAGGGTCAGACCAGTGTTATTAAAACATTTCAAGTGGGAAATCCTGGCTTTGTGTCTGAGCTCTGCCAGGTTGTAATTACTTTGGGTGATTCATTTCAACTCTGTGGGTCACAGCTTAGTTATCTTTCAGTGGTGGTATTAGCCAGTGATTCTCAAACTTTTTTATCTAAGGATGGCTTCACACTCTTAAAAACTGTTAAGACTCCAAAGAGTTTTCGTTTATGTGGAATCTATGTGTTGATAATTATCATATTAGAAATTAAAATGATGAATTTAAATAAAAATATTTATTAATTTATTTATAATAACAGTAATAAACTCTTTTCATAGTAGCATAAAATATATTTATGAAAATTAACTATATTTTCCAGAACAAAAAACAGTTTGGTGAAAATGAGAGACAGGACTGGCTGGATTTCTAAGCTGACTAAGAATTCCTAAGCCTAGTTGGGGAAGGTGACCGTACCCACCTTTAAACATGGGGCTTGTAACTCAGCTCACACCCAACCAATCAGGTAGTAAAGAGGGCTCACTGAAATACCAATTAGGCTAAAAGCAGGAGGTAAAGAGATAGTCAAATCATCTATCATCTGAGAGCACAGGGGGAGGGACAATGATTGGGATATAAACCCCAGGCATTCAAGATGGGAGTGGGCAAACTCTTTTGGGTCCCCTCCCATTGTATAGGAGCTCTGTTTTCACTCTATTAAATCTTAAATTAGATTATATCTAATCAAAAATGACAAGGCATACAATGAAGCAGTATGATATAATTCATACAGAAAATGACAGTGTATTTTTCATCAAACATAATCCAACTTAGAATTATATGCTGAGAAAAAAACACATCTTTTAAAATGAAGACAAAATTAATACTTTTGCAGACATTCAAAAACTGAAAATATTCATTATTAGCATACCTGCATTGCAAGAAATGATAAAGTCCATCAGGCAGAGGGAAAATAATACCGGAGGGAAATATGTATCTACATGCAGGAATGAAGGGCATTGGATATGGTTTTTTGCAGCTGCTTTTGAGGACTAAGTCATAAATTCTTTGCGAAGGCCAATTTCTAGACATATACTTCCTAGGTTTTGTTCTAGGATTTTCATAGTTTGAGGTCTTACATTTAAGTCTTTAATCCCATCTTGAGTTAATTTCTGCATTTGTAGGGGTTCAGGTTCAGTCTTCTGCATATGGCTAGCCAGTTTTCCCAGAACTATTTATTGACTAGGGGGTCCTTTTTCTATTGCTTTTTTTTGGGTTGATTTTGTCAAAGATCAGATGCCTGTAGACACGTGACTTTATTTTGGGATTCTCTATTCTGTTCCATTGCTCTATGTGTCTATTTTTGTATCAGTGCCATGCTGTTTTGGTTACTGTAGCCTTACAGTGTGGTTTGAAATTTGATAATATGAAGCCTCTGGCTCTGTTATTTTTGTTTAGGATCACTTTGTCTATTCATGCTCTTTTTTTGGTTCCATATGAATTTTAGAATAGTTTTATTTTCAAGTCTGTGAAAAATTGAGCTAGGTAATTTGATAGAAATAGCATGGAAACTGTCGATTGCTCTGGGCAGTATGGTCATTTTAAGGATATTGATTCCTCCAATCTATGAACATGGAATGTTTCTCCATTTTTTTTTTTTTTTTTTTTGGTGTCATCTATGATTTCTGTCAACCATGTTCTGTAGTTCTCCTTGTAAAGATCTTTCAACTCCTTGGTTAGCTATATGAGGTATTTTATTTTTTTGTGGCTATTGTAAATGGGATTATGTTCTTGATTTGGCTCACAGCCTGTATATTATTGGTGTACAGAAAAGCCAATTTTTGTATGTTGATTTTGTATCTTGAAATGTTACTAAAGTTGTTTGTCAGGTCTAGGTGCCCTTTGGTGGGACCTTTAGTGCTTTCTAGGTAAATAATCATATTATCAACAAAGAGAGATAATTTGACTTTCTCTTTTCCTACTTAGATGGCTTTTATTTCTTTTTCTTGCCTGATTGCTCTGGCTAGGACTTCCAGTACTATGTTGAATAGGAGTAGTGAGAGTGGACATTCTTACTGTGTTCCAGTTTTTAGGGGAAATGCTTCCAGCTTTTCCCCAGTCAGTATGATGTTGACTGTGGATTTGTCATCAATGACTCTTATTATTTTGAGGTATGTTCCCTCAATGCCTAATTTGTTGAGCTTTTTTTTTTTGTTTTTAATCATGAAGGGCCGTTGAATTTTTCTTGAATGCTTTTTGGCATCTATTGAGTTGATCATATTTTTTTTGTTTTTTATTTGTGTTTATGTTGTGAATCATATTTATTGAGTTGTGTATGTTGAGCCAACTTTGCATCCAGGAATGAAGCCTACTGGATCATGGTGAAATGACTTTTTGATATGCTGCTGGATTTAATTTGCTCATATTTTGTGGATGATTTTATTAGGATTATAGGTCTGCAGTTTTCTTTTTTTTTGGTGTGTCTTTCACTGATTTTGGTATTAGGATAATACTGGTTTCATAGAATGGGTTAGGGAGTGATATGCTTTGGCTGTGTCCCCACCCAAATTGCATCTTGAATTGTAGCTCCCATAATTTCCATGTGTTTTGGAAGGAACCCAGTGGAAGATAATTGAATCATGGCAGTGATTTCCCCCACACTGTTCTCTTGGCAGTGAATAAGTCTGATGAGATCTGATGGTTTCATAAGGGGAAACCCCATTTGCTTGGTTTCTCATTCTCTCTCATGACAGCTGCCATGCAAGACATGGCTTTTGCCTTCTGCCATGGTTGTGAGGCCTCCCCAGCCACATGGAACTGTGAGTCCATTAAACCTCTTTTTCTTTATAAATTACCCAGTCTTGGGTGTGTCTTTATCAGCAGTGTGAAAATGGACTACTACAGAGAGGAATCCCTCCGCAATGATTTTTTTGGAATAGTTTCAGTAGGCTTGATACCAGCTTTTTGCTGGTAGAATTTGCCTATTAATCCATTTAATCTAGAGCTTTTTTGTTCGGTACATTTTTTATTACTGATTCAATTTTATAACCGTTCTTAATCTGTTTAGGGTTTCCATTTTTTCCTATTCCATCATGTGAGGCTGTGTGTTTCCACGATTATTTTCATTTTCTCTATATTTTCTAGATTGTGCACATAGAGCTGTTCGTAATAGTCTCTGAGGATCTTTTGAATTTCTCTGGGATCATTTGTAATCTGTTCTTTGTCATTTCTGGTTGTACACCTTTGGATCTTCTCTCTCTTTTTCTTTGTTAATCTAGCTAGTGGTCTATCAATCTTGTTTTTCCTTTCAAATAACTAACTTTTTATTTTGTAGATACTTTGTATGGTTTTTTGAGTCTTGATTTTGTTTTGTTTGACTCTGATTTTAGTTATTTCTTTTCTTTTTTTTTTTTTTTTTAAATTTATTTATTATTATTAAACTTCAAGTTGTAGGGTACATGTGCACAACGTGCAGGTTTGCTACATATGTATACTTGTGCCATGTTGGTGTGCTGCACCCATCAACTCGTCATTTACATCAGGTATAACTCCCAATGCAATCCCTCCCCCCTCCCCCCTCCCCATGATAGGCCCCGGTGTGTGATGTTCCCCTTCCCGAGTCCAAGTGATCTCATTGTTCAGTTCCCGCCTATGAGTGAGAACATGCGGTGTTTGGTTTTCTGTTCTTGTGATAGTTTGCTGAGAATGATGGTTTCCACTGCATCCATGTCCCTACAAAGGACACAAACTCATCCTTTTTTATGGCTGCATAGTATTCCATGGTGTATATGTGCCACATTTTCTTAATCCAATCTGTCACTGATGGACATTTGGGTTGATTCCAAGTCTTTGCTATTGTGAATAGTGCTGCAATAAACATACGTGTGCATGTGTCCTTATAGCAGCATAATTTATAATCCTTTGGGTATATACCCAGTAATGGGATGGCTGGGTCATATGGTACATCTAGTTCTAGATCCTTGAGGAATCGCCATACTGTTTTCCATAATGGTTGAACTAGTTTACAATCCCACCAACAGTGTAAAAGTGTTCCTATTTCTCCACATCCTCTCCAGCACCTGTTGTTTCCTGACTTTTTAATGCTGGCCATTCTAACTGGTGTGAGATGGTATCTCATTGTGGTTTTGATTTGCATTTCTCTGATGGCCAGTGATGATGAGCATTTTTTCATGTGTCTGTTGGCTGTATGAATGTCTTCTTTTGAGAAATGTCTGTTCATATCCTTTGCCCACTTTTTGATGGGGTTGTTTGTTTTTTTCTTGTAAATTTGTTTGAGTTCTTTGTAGGTTCTGGATATTAGCCCTTTGTCAGATGAGTAGATTGCAAAAATTTTCTCCCATTCTGTAGGTTGCCTGTTCACTCTGATGGTAGTTTCTTTTGCTGTGCAGAAGCTCTTTAGTTTAATGAGATCCCATTTGTCAATTTTGGCTTTTGCTGCCATTGCTTTTGGTGTTTTAGACATGAAGTCTTTGCCCATGCCTATGTCCTGAATG